CAACACAGAAAGGAGAATTCTACTTAGTAAGGGTTATAATCCCTAAGCGCGGCCGAAGGCCGCCTACGCAGAAAGAAGTTCTGCGCAAAAATACTTCCGGTCCCCTTTTCCGGCAACACAGAAAGGAGAATTCTACTTAGTAAGGGTTCAAGAATGATAGAATAAAGAGATTGAGCTTTGCGCAGGTCCGTTACTCTTGTTTACAAATCAGCTGTTCGAGTGTTGACGTCATAATATAAAATTTTTGGTGGGAAGAGTATTGGTTTGCGAGGGAAACGTATTGGTTTGCGAGGAAAACGTATTGATTTGTGATATTTTTGTTAAAGTTATAAAATAAAAACGTTGTAAAATGAAGTGCGCAGTTGCGAAATGTGGAAAAACGGCGGCAGAGTGCAGTTTGTTTACTTTTCCTTCAGATCCAGAACTTAGGAAAAAGTGGATCCAGTTCTGCCGGCAAAGCAAAGATTTCCAATTTAAAACTTGCTATATTTGCATGCATCACTTTGCAAGTGAAGATTTTGAAAATAGTCTGCAGTTTGAAGTGGGTAGGATGTTTATTTATTTCGTTTATTGTGTTTATATTAATGAAAGTGTTTAAAGCATTTCTAAGGTTATGCAAAAAGAAGATTGTTGAAACGAGGCCCCGTGCCATCAATTTACAAGCCCGGTGATGAAAACCCGGAGCGTTCGCAAAGAGTTCATCGTCGTCAAAATACGTCGTTAATATCCTTATTTGATGCTGTGGGCAGGCGTCACAGTTTCAGGTAAAATTTCTTGCTTATGCCTTGGCAGTTTAATTTTATGTTGGCACCGTTTGCATTGTATTTCCTGAAATAAGTACGCATTGGAAGTTAGTAAAAAGTAATGTATTGTCGCAGATGCTACTTACCATGCTATGAGCACGCCCTTGCTCAACGAATTGGCCCTTTTACGCTGTTTCCTGGTTAGCGCTCTTCGATTCTCTGTAGTCTTTCTGGCATCGTATAGCTTCTATATTTGTTTCCAAGCCTTGGAGCTATGCACTATTTGCTGTGGCTTCAATTTCATTTGGAAATCTTACTCGTTCCATTTGCCAGCGCAACGGCGGCCACAGAATGCAATTTTTATTTGAACGCCCTACTCACTAACTGAAATAAAATAATAATATAAATAATGTAAAAGAAACACAAAATAAATTTACCGTCTTCTCGATTCAATAAATTGCCACCAGATTGTTTTATTTTAGTCTTTCAACTAAATTTTATGCTATATTTACTTTTTTTCGTCGAAATTGTATGCGATTTGACAGACCGCCAACAACAACTTTTATATTATGACGTAGATGCGCAGAACGAAAAATTTTTGCACCCCTATCGGCGCAATCTTTGTATTCTATCATTCTTGGTAAGGGTTATAATCCCTAAGCGCGGCCGAAGGCCGCCTACACAGAAAGAAGTTCTGCGCAAAAGTACTTCCGGCCCCCTTTTCCGGCAACAGATAAAGGAGAATTCTACTTAGTAAGGTTTATAATCAGTGTTGCCGCGAAACATTTTTAGCGGTAGCTAAATTCAGGCTAAAAAAGGGCTAAACAAGAGCTAAAAATCGTCGTTGTGGCTAAAAATGGTAGCTAAATTTTTTTAACTACATATAAATATATAAGTATACATGCAAACATTTTCTATAAGTAATGATATAGAAAAACAATGAACTCTGGAAAGAATTAATATTTTATTCAACAAAAAAACTTGTTGTGTAACATATAAAGCATATTAAGGGCCGCCAACTTACCTATTTTAAAGTATAGTTAAATCATTAATGGATAAGATAACTGCCCAGAAACGTAAAAAACATACATAAACATATGTTATTAATTAATTAATTTCTTACATAAACAAAAAAATTAGATCACATTAAGAATACATACATAAGTACTAGAATCATATCTATATACAGTGTCGGAAAATACTAAATAACTTACATAATTTCAAACTATGCTTCGAAAAATATCCATTTGTAAAAGAAATTTTTAAAATGTTATGTTATAATTTACAAAGAATTAAAATGTCGGTGCTTTATTATTGTCCGACGCTGTATGTATCAAACAAACAAAAGAGTATTCATTTAATGAACTCATAGTAAAATAATTTAATCTATAAACATTTTTTTAACACATTAAATATCTATATCAATACTATCATCGCTAAGCGATTCTTCGTCGTTACAATTTTGTTCATTTCTCATTAACCTGACGATATCATCTGTAATTTCAAAATCAAGACAACATTTCTGTACATTTTTTAAGCCATATCTTACAGTTAATAAAGCGTTTAACATTGCAAAATTCATTTTATTTCTGTGCTTATTTTTAACGAAATTTATTATAGAAAACGTCCTTTCAACTTCTGCGTTACTTAAAGGTAAAAGAAGCAACCGATAAACAAACTTTTTCCACCACTTAAGCTAGCGACACAATGAACAGTTTATTTGCCTTAAAGGAAAGGCGTTTGCTTTATAAGCGAAGAGTTAAATTCATGAAAATCATATAAAAAATTTTAATGTCAATGATGAATAAATTTTGAAAAGGGCTAAAAAAAGGGCTAGGGGCAATTTAAAATTTTTGTGGCCAAAAAAAGAATTTGGTAGCCAAATTTAGCCACCAAAGGGCTAAAACGGCAACACTGTTTATAATCCCTAAGCGCGGCCGAAGGCCGCCTACGCAGAAAGAAGTTCTGCGCAAAAATACTTCCGCCCTTCTTTTCCGGCAACACAGAAAGGAGAATTCTACTTAGTAAGGGTTATAATCCCTAAGCGCGGCCGAAGGCCGCCTACGCAGAAAGAAGTTCTGCGCAAAAATACTTCCGGCCCCCTTTTCCGGCAACACAGAAAGGAGAATTCTACTTAGTAAGGGTTATAATCCCTAAGCGCGGCCGAAGGCCGCCTACTCAGAAAGAAGTTCGTTTTCATGTATGCACTATTTCGGTTTTTGTCATATGCATTACTTCGGTTTTGAGTCGAAACTGTGCATGTATGCATTACTTCGGTTTTTGTCATATGCATTATTTCGGTTTTGAACCGAAACTGTGCATGAATGCATTACTTCGTTTTTCTCATATGCGTTATTTCGGTTTTCAAACGAAACTGTGCATATATGCATTATTTCGGTTTATTTCATATGCATTATTTCGGTTTTCAACCGAAACTGTGCATATATGCATTATTTCGGTTTTTTTCATATGCATTATTTCGGTTTTCAAACGAAAGAGTGCATATGCATAATTTCGGTTTTTCTAATATGCATTATTGCGGTTTTCAACCGAATTGTGCATATATGCATTATTTCGGTTTTTTTCATATGCATTAATTCGGTTTTCAACCGAAACTGTGCATAATGCATTATTTCGGTTTTTTTCGTATGCATTATTTCGGTTTTTTTCATATGCATTATTTCGTATGCACAGTTTCCATATGCACAATTTCAGGGTGCCGAACATCATTCAAAGTTGAATTAAGATGTTGGTATTTGAAAAAAAAAACAAAATTGGGACACGAATGACTTCCCATAAGTCTAAATCAGAATAGTTTTGGCCTAGTTATTTAAGTTTTTCGTAAATCAATCTTTGAAAAAAGTAAGAAAACAGCATCAAAAATCACAATATTACGATTCCGTTGAAAAGATTTTTAAATACTTTTATGCAGATCTTTTAAGCCTAATCTGGGACTTTTTTTCAAAAAGTTCTTTAAGAAACTATTTTTATTCGTAGAAACTCCATTTTTGGAGGTATTTTCAAATCGGTCGAGCTCGCTTTAATCTTAATATTTTTCCAAAATATTTTGGTGGACTTCTTAAAATATAATAAATTTTGTAATCCCGCCGGAAAAACCGCAACTTTTTTTGGTGATGCAGTCTAATATATATATACATATATATATTTTTTTTATGAGAATGGAAGTTGGTTTTGTTTTTTGTTTAAAGATTACTTGTATTTTTATATGCTTGTTTTCTTTGCAGCTTTCTAGTATTTTTTTTATTGCAGGCCCTATATCCCCGCCACATCTATTTTTATTATTATTTACTTTGTTAAGGCTAGCTATATTTATTATATTTTGTACTATCTCCTGTCAGCACACAAACAGTCAGAGCATACGCGTCTTGGCAC